GGGGATGGGTTTCGTTTCCGGGGCAGAATTTGAACACCATTCAATGTATTTGATCGAAACTTGGCAAAGCTATCAGGCACATACTGAAGTGGTGCCTTTTGATATTTTGGGATTTTTCTAATTTTAATTTTTGAATTTTTTTATGGAATGAAGTTGGACATAGACTCTGTTGGGGATGGGGTTCGTTTCCGGGGCAGAATTCGAAAACCATTCAGTGTATTTGATCGAAACTTGGCAAAACTATCAGGCACATACTGTAGTGATGCCTTTTGATATATATTTTTTTACAAATTTTTATTTTTTACAATTTTTATGGAAAGAAGTTGGACCTAGACTCAATAGGGGATGTGGTTAGTTTTCGGGGCAGAATTCGAAAACCATTCAGTGTATTTGATCGAAACTTGGCAAAGCTATCAGGCACATACTGAAGTGATGCCTTTTGATATTTATTTTTTTACAAATTTTTATTTTTTACAATTTTTATAGAAAGAAGTTGGACCTAGACTCAATTGGGGATGGGGTTCGTTTCCGGGTCAGAATTCGAAAACCATTCAGTGTATTTGATCGAAACTTGGCAAAACTATCAGGCACATACTGAAGTGATGCCTTTTGATATATATATTTTTTACGAATTTTTATTTTTTACAATTTTTATGGAAAGAAGTTGGACCTAGACTCTATTGGGGATGGGTTTCGTTTCCGGAGCAGAATTCGATCACCATTGCAAAGCTATCAGGCACATACTGAAGTGGTGCCTTTTGATATTTTGGGATTTTTCTAATTTTAATATTTCAACTTTTTTATGGAATGAAGTTGGACATAGACTCTGTTGGGGATGGGGTTCGTTTCCGGGGCAGAATTCGAAAACCATTCAGTGTATTTGATCGAAACTTGGCAAAACTATCAAGCACATACTGAAGTGATGCCTTTTGATATATATTTTTTTACGAATTTTTATTTTTTACAATTTTTATGGAAAGAAGTTGGACCTAGACTCAATAGGGGATGGGGTTAGTTTTCGGGGCAGAATTCGAAAACCATTCAGTGTATTTGATCGAAACTTGGCAAAGCTATCAGGCACATACTGAAGTGATGCCTTTTGATATTTATTTTTTTACAAATTTTTATTTTTTACAATTTTTATAGAAAGAAGTTGGACCTAGACTCAATTGGGGATGGGGTTCGTTTCCGGGTCAGAATTCGAAAACCATTTAGTGGGTAAACAATGTATGCTTCTAAAAGAACATTCAACTGTTGACTCATTACATACAGAATTGCACATTTACTAGTGGTTAGTTTACAGACAGCTGCCGGGGGGATATGTCACCTTTCTGATGACTCTTGTGTTTATTTTTATTCCTACCAGTTTCGGGGGCACGTGTGGCCCAGTCGTCTAAGGCCCCGCAATTCGTTGTGCAGAGTTGCGTCCCTTGGGCACGCCAGAAATCTATGGTTGTGGGTTCAAATCCCGGTTCGCCCCGATTATGTTTCAAGGTTTGCCAGCACCATGCCTGTGCTCGTGGGTTTCACCGAAGTAGTAAACGTCCGAGACCTGCATCACCTGGGGCTTTCCTCCCACATTAAGCTGACACGCCGCGATATAACTGGAATACTGTTAAAAGCGGCGTTAAACCCAACTCACTCACTCACCTACCAGTTTCAACTGGCGAAGAGACGTTAGGGAAAAACATATCTAGTAACAGCATCTTTAGAAAACAGTAATATCGTGAGTTGAGCGAGTAGGCAGCCACTGCAATATAATTCCTCCAGCATTATACGGGGAGGAATGTGTAATGTATGGTAGGATAACCACAATGCCATAACTTACAGCTTGATGGGAAGGGTAGAGCTAAGGTAGCCCGGCCTTAGATAAAGTCACACTGACATGGTGTTTAATACACCGGTTCCCTTGCAACAAGCGAGGACTACTGATCCTGTACAATGACAATCTGTTTCTCCGTGTAAAGCTACCGTCCGTGTAGCAGTAATGTATAACTTACTGTTTTATGTATGCACCGCTTGAGTTTGGGAGAAGGTGTCGATTCTATGAAAGATAACATGATATTTCAGACGGTCTGTGTATACAGGTATTCCTGTCAGCAGTGGCGAGTCACATCTAGATGCATGCTTACGTTATTTGCCTCTACAAACAAACAGTATACTAACGGTCAGCTTCCCCAATCAAAATAAGAAACTACAGGTGTTAAGATAAGGTGTTGAGGTTAGGAAACTGAATGCATACATGTAATACAATATATGTTATGTTGGCAACACAAGAATCAGGTAAACAAAATAACATGTGTCGCGTCATGTAGGTGCAAATTAACTGAACTCGATGAACTCTTTTTTTTATCCCTGCTATGAAAAACCTTTGTATATTTAACTAATGATAAATATCTACGTAAGAAGACAATTACATACTTCCTGTTACATATATGAATCTAGAAATATCAAGCGTATGCTAACGTTTCATTCCATCCATTTACACAGCATAAACGAAAGTAGAATTGGATGTAGTGATCTCAATAGTCACAAAAGTGAAAGACATTTGCAGCATGACAATGCGGTATTTATATGGATTCTCCACCTCACTTTCTCCTCACTTGTTTTTCTTATCGTGACATTAGAAGCACAATGTACTACTACGCAAAAGGTTTTGGTCTGAAAAACACGACTGTATGGTAACAGGAATTTGACAAGAGATGTCAAACACAACATACTTATGTCTGTCCATGAATTCAACTAGTGGTAAATTTGTACCTTGAGTATGAATATAAAAGCTTATATTCCTGTGACTTTAGTCCTGGGGACATGAGTGGTCGTCTTACTCTATATTGTCTGTATTGTTTCTTGACCTTAAAATCTTGATGTCTTCACAAATGTATTTATGTAATCGATCGGTATTTAGATATGCCAGTTAGTCCTGTTTACCAATCCCTTTCAAGTAAAGTTAAATAAAATATATTCAAACTATGAAGGAACCGTGTTTCCTCAATTCATGTTATAAAATGAACTAGTAATCTGAGATCCATATGAATATAAATATAAGCGATAAAACACTTTCAATATTCGTAAGAAATCACTGCTAAAATAAGAGTTGATTTACCATTCCGACTTTATCGTGAGCAGGTGGTTATGAATCACTATGAGTATCATTAATAGTGACAATACGAGGTGTTCACGTAGGTGAGCGTAGCCTGTCCCTCCCATGGCACCCATCACAAACATTTGCAAGGGTAAGTCAAGTTAAAAAACACGGAAATATATGGTTCAAGTCAAAATAGGGAATTGCATAATTTTTTATCACCCCATCACAAGTATATCAGTAGTGAGCAAGGGCACCAGTGCAGGGGATACCACATATTGGCTTCTCACATTGTATCCATATAGGGAATGTGTGTGTCTAAAAACTTCAGTTTGAACAATCTCTGATACATGCCTTATCTCAAGAAGGCCCACTTACTGACTCTGTATATTTTATCAAAAAGTAGATCCTTTAATGTTTTCGCCAATGCGTTGATATCATATCTCCTGCAGAGAATACATTTACATCTAAAACCCCCGTGGGGACCCGGGGTAGAATGTGCCCCCCAGCATCCCATTGCTGGTCGTAAGAGGCTATGTCGGCAGAGGAAGGGAGCGTGGTGGTTGAGGGCGCCAGACCCGCACCTGGCAATATTGTTCCTTAGTCCAACACACCACTTCCACAGCAAAGAAATTGTTGGTTTCCGTCTTCCGGAAACCTTCCCATTTTGGATCCGGCCCAGATACCTTTCGGAAACCTTCAAAAAGAAATTCAAAATTTGGGGGGTGCATTATGTTCACTTAAGTGTGAAACACATAAAAAAAACTATCTTGAAAATACCAAGAAATTTGAAGGTTGCTGAAGGCATCTGGAAGGTTTCCGGAAGGTATCCAGATGCAAATTTTCTTCATGTCTTGTTTCTGGTAAATAATGTTAGCCTGTGCATAACAGATAGCTGTTGTAATGTTCTGTGTTACCTAAATGGTAAATATCCTCCTAAAACATTTTTGGAGAAGACAGTTGTTCAATTTCATATATTGTTCTTTTCAGATGTTAATGGTATTTAATGAACAAACATCAGTTCTCGTATAATGATATCCTAAAATTTCATGTCCAGACTTCTAGTTTGTACAGAGAAAAAGAAAAAGTTATTGAAAATGTGCTCACTTGGGCCTTTGGTCCTAGTGAGATGATAATAAGACTATTTGTAACGGTACATGTACTTGTTATATCCAAAATGCTAACTTCATTGAAATTTGCCTCACCCTAGTTTTATGGTACTACAGTGAGCTCTTCCTTAGTTACTGTGAATTCTTTTATTAAAAGAGATTGAGAGTTAATTTGACACCACACCACACCAAATCACAAATTGTAACCACTGCTCATATATGTGTATTCAAATAATATAACAACTATGTGCTTAATACTTCACAAATATCTTCTGAAATAGGCATTTTAGTCATAATTGCAGAAATACTTTATGAATGACCCCTTCACTATTGCCTTGATCTTACACTTCAACCCTTCATGAGTTATCACTTTTGAGTGTGAAGTTGACCTTCAATATCAGTGATAAATATTTCAAAAACATTTCAAAGAGCTATCCAGCACATAAACCAAATATGCAGTCCTTTGGTAGAATTCAACATATCATTGACAAAAATATGAAAATAATATAACCAGTATATGTATGAGAGTTACTAAGACTTCTGCAGAAAAGGCAATTTAGGAGAAAATGTAGTATACATAGGTCACGCACGACCTTTTTCCAACTTCGACCCCTGCCCAAAGGAAGATTTAGACCACAAACAAACTTTTTGTCTGGTTGTGACTTTGACCTTTGACATAACAGATCAATGTGTCATCAGATGCCAAAGCAATGCATGGTTTCATAAGATAAGTGTAGCTATTAAACTGAGGCAAAATCATGAAACATCCCCATTTACACAGCTGGCAAATGAAACATAAGCAACAATCAAATTATCATATTTTTTTTATTCATATGCCTATCATGCCTATAGTATATCGCACACTGAACAGTGTTCACACGATTGTTCCTGATGCAGTATGCAATTTCATCCTATTCTTCAATACTCATAACAGAGTGTGATAACTGTTTGCTTGACAGTACCTACGGATTATGTTCACCAGTTCAGAGAACTTACTTTCCCTCAATCCTACTTTTCTTTCTATATTGCCATGGATGAACAGGAGCCAGGATGAGGGGATACCAGTTGGACTCAATCCCTGCTGCATTGCGCTAGTAGAATTGTGAACTTTCCATTTGGTGTTTGGGTCCACATTGAAAGACAATAAGTCCCATTTATCATTCCGTTCAAGTGTTTACCACATGGCTCAGGACAAGAATTTCTTGAATGTCCTGGAAGGATTCCACTCCAGCTTGGCATTGGTTGGTCTTCTCACATTAGCCAGACCAGTCTTGTGTGTCCCAGTACCATTTGGCATATAACTTCTCGGTCAGCCTCCATTGAAATAACAGGACCCTCATCATCGCTGTCTGCAAATCACCTCTGATATCTGAAGGGGTGCACGCCCTGTTAAGGACTCCCTTGTCTGGTCCTTCCAGGCTGTCAACCTGGAGTACTCATCCAGGGATCTCAAGCAGGACTTCAGTTTCTGCAGCATTATGTACAAAGATTTTAGCAATCAAAAAGAATGGTTGCCACATGTACTTACAGATAGAAGGCAGCAAAATCACTAACATTATCATATGTGAGTCTTGTTATATGCCAAACATTTAAGATAATCACATCTCAAATCTCAACCAGACAAACCAGTGATTAATGTTATGAACTCGGTCCAGACAAACCGATGATAACTGTTATGGACAATATCCCACGTCATTGTGGTATGACTACACGCTATCAATGAGCCTACTCGATCACTACCTGATCTATTAATTAGGCTTGTATGGCAAGCATAGACTGCTGGGAATCTTTTTAAGAGATGTCATTTAGTGATTGCTTCAACTCATCAACATGGAAAAATATATTTTTACAATCCTTGTCATATAGCCAACTATTGCTGGATGCTGTATCAATAAATATGTTGTGTTTAACACTGCTTTGAACAGTATTCCAGATATATCACCGCCTGTTAGCTCGATGTGGGAAGAAAGCCCTAAGTGATCCAGGTCTTTGATGAATCCCACGAGCAAGTGTATAACGCTGACAAACCTAGCAACATAATCGGGGAGAACTAGGATTTGAACTATGACTATAGGTTTCTGCTAAGCCCAAGAGATGCAACTCTGCACAGCAAATTGTAGTGCCTTAGATAATAGGACATCCGTGCCCACAGCGATAAGGAACAAACTGAAGAAATATTTGCAAAATAACCATATGAACCAAACAAAATAATTTCAAAATATGTATCACTCACTGTTGCTCTTCTATGGTCTTTCCTTGCATTGATGCTGCACAGATGACTGTCTCTTTTATTCATCCGGACATTCTACAAACATAAGTAGCATTCACATCACAGAAATGTCCAAACTGTACACAGTTGTACATTTGATTCAAATGAAAAGACCCCAGTTGTGATTCCGACTTAGAACTGCCCTAATTATAATAATTCATGTCAAACATTCAGAGATGACATTTATCCCTATATTTAACTAATGTAAAAACAATATTTTGACAACAAAGTCAGGGTCATTCAACGCATACATTACATGGGGAATAACTTGTTCGACAATGCAGAAAGATCCTCATCGAGGTCAACGTCATTCCATGAATTGTTGCTAAATTTTCTTGAAAATGCAGGAGCGGTCGGGTAGCCTAGTGGTTAAAGTGTTCGATCATCATGCCGAAGACCCGGGTTCGATTCCCAAGATGGGTACAATGTGTGAAGCCCATTTCTGGTGTCCCCCGCCGTGATATTGCTTGAATATTGCTAAAGCGGCGTAATACCACTCTCACTCACTCTTGAAATGCAGATTAATGCAATGCAGTATTTACTTTTATTTCTAGGCTATTTGTTTGGCTTTTCCATGACACTGTTTTGACAGAGATCTAACCTTGATATGACACTTTGTTCAGAAATGATATGAATAAGATAATATTTTATTATTCCCAAGGAAATTTGGGTTACATTGTAAAAGCACTGAGAAACAAGTATAAGATTCATGATTTAAGTTAAATACACTCATACATACACACACAAACACAACATCCAAACACCAGGGTTAGAAATTGGCACCAGTCATATAGTCCTTGCCAAACTGCCCAATAGTAAATATCCTAAGGACAAGTAGAATTTTGACATTTTTAAAGGTTTTGCTATATGCTATCATTAAAAGGACTAGTGGACTGAAACTGTTAGTTTCTACCGCTGCAAACACTAATCAACTTATGAATTTGGTGGTCAGACTAGGTTATCATCATACTCTGGGGGCATGGATCTTTGCTGATAATAACTATCACTAGATTGCCTGGTCCATGTTCAATTATTTACAGGCCGCCATCACAGAGCCGGACTATTATGAGTGTGATGTTTCACATTGCATTGAAATATACCATGATGAATACATGTAGTTTGTAATTATCACACACAAAAATACTCACTCAACACTTCGTATCCTCCCTGAAGATGTCTGTGAACCTCCCCACAAACCCTGAACATGCTGAAACAGAAAACAACTAACTTGTCTTAATCCTTTCAAAGTTTCAGTGTGAATTTGTGAAAGATTAATAAGCTGTCATTATTCATTGTAATCCATATCTCACTTTCAGGTGGTTCAGGTGGCAACACATGATTGGAATTGAATGCCACGTTTTGTATGACATGCACTTTGACAGATTTATACCCTTGGTAACTAACCCTTGTCATCAAATCCAAGCGTTATGTTGAGAATAAGGACACGACCCTTAAAAGTCCTACACCTGTAGCTCTTATGCAAACCCAAATCCCATGTCACAACAAACACTTGATCATAATAATAACAAAAGGTTTCCGAAAACAACAAAACTAAAAGGCCCTTGACGTTTACAGTAGTAACATGGAGATCAGGAAAATATCTAAATCAATCCATTCCATAGGATCTCTGTATAGAAATCATGGAACATTATGTCTCAAAGCCCTGTTACGTAGGGTTATAGCGAAAACGGCACCTCAGAAAAACCTCGACTCGAGCGAAAACGGCACCTTATTTTTTTTTTACCTTGGTCAAATGAATGATATTAAACTTACATTGTAACTTGCAAAGGCCAATAATTGTGAGATGTTAAAACAAGTTTACATTAGAAATTAGCCTCTGCTCCAACTATAATCCAACTTAGCTTATACGCAACTCAACTTATGGTGAAAACATAACATGCTTTGACGAAAGATAATAGAAATTAAACTCACATCGTCTCTTACAAACACAAATAATTGTGAAATAAAACAAATAAGAAATTAGCCCCTTACTCCAATTTACTCACCGACTTTTATTCACTATACGCTTTGAAGTTTTAAGTACCTTTACTCAATTTAAACTGAAACTGTATTTAAGAGGCCTAACATGGTGCTGTAAGATCACAATTATTCACAATGGCCTTTCGATGTGTTGCATGCGAGAAGAATGACAGAAAAAAAATCAACATGCTGTATCATGTGATAACTGTGACCAGTGGAACTGGACTTTCTATGGCCCGTTATAGAGAAATTTGCCGTACTGACTTCCCTTTCCGCTGTGTGAAATTCGTAGCTCCCGTCATTGAAGAGGTGATCGGTAACTTTCATGTCAGTTTCCAGTCAGAAGATGCTGAAGAAATGAGAGTACCAAACCTATCGGAAATTCACATACGGCTTCAGATGTACTCAATACATCAAATACCATGTAAATAAACCCTATATATTGCTACAAAAATCGTTGTTATCGTTATTAAACATAGAGGTTCCGTTTTCGCCCGACACATAGTAGCCGTTTTCGCCAAATGCGGTGCCGTTTTCGCCAGAGAAATCGGTGACGTTTTGCTGAGGTGCCATTTTAGCCTGCACCCGTTACGTACCTAGCATCCGCAAGGTGCTCTTCCTTCCTTCGGCTGTCAATCGAGTTTTCGAAGTACTTGACGTCCTCGTTGTGGATGGCTCAGATGGATTTCGACCGGGATTTCCGTGTTAGAGGTGATTGAGAACAATGTATCGATACACCAGGTAAGCATATCGCAATCAAGCATCACGGTGTACATCGATTACACGAGGTTTGAGTGTTTGTTTACATTTGTGTTCCAAAATGGCGCCCTCGGCAATACAGGGAATTATGGGTAGACTTGCCTGTCCCGGAATAACACGAGTTGGTCACGAATGACGAGCGTCATTTCTGCAGCAGTTACGGAAAGAGACGAGGTTGGCCGATTGTAGTTCATACAGGCCATATTGGGAGCCGCGGGGATTTCGACAGTGTGTATTAGGAAGTATATCTATGTGGTGTATGGAATATGCGTTTGCCTACCATGCCTAGATAAGACAGTGTGACAAGGGAAATCCCAGCGGACGTAATATTCCTACAGCAGGAATGTTTCACAACCTCGTCAAAATCGGCGATTGCAGCTGATGTCATGCAGGGAGCTGAAGACGTGACACATTCAGACAGAGACCATATTACATATAGACTGTTACATGGTCTCTGATTCAGGTAAGGAATATGTGAATAATATTGATCACGTATTAAAGTTATTTATCTTCTGTAAGCCACTTATTCAGTTTAATATATATTAGTAAATGTGTGATTTTATTTTTGTAGGATAAGCAATCTACCTAACTTATGTTAATCCTTGCTAATGTATAAGATGTAGAAATATGTTTGCTTACCTATATTCCTTTACTAGATACTCTAATGTGACTCATTTTCTTAGTTCATACCGTACGAACAAATCAATCTGTGGTACCAATGTGTGAGAATGGTTAATAGACTAAACTTTAAACTTACTTTTGCAGGTGTGAAGAATCAAGAACACATTAAATGACAGAAGTTTCGCAACAGTGAACATAGTGAAGTGGAAGATAAGACATTTGAAAGGTATGGATATTTTCACTTGAAATTTTTGAAGAATACCATGAATACAACTTTATCATGTTGGGAATTTTGGCGGTGGGGTAGCCTAGTGGTTGAAGTGCTGAAGACCACGGTTCGATTCTTGTCATGGGTACAATGTGTGAAGTCCATGTCAGGTGTCCCTTGCTGTGGTATTGCTAAAAACAGCGTAAAACCATACCCACTCATGTGGGGATTCAGGGTTGGAATTGGTCCCCATCAACCTATGCTAGTTGTAAGAGAGGGTTATACTATAAAGTGAAAACAGCACCTCGCCTACTATTGCCTGGTGAAAACAGCACCTTGTTATTTATTTTACCTTGGTCTGAACATGCCCGAATACATGAAATTAAACTTGCATGGTCACTTGTAAACACAAATAATTGAGAAATGTTCACAAAGGTTTACATTAGAAACTAGCATCTACTCGCTGACTCTGATTTGGAGATGCAACTAAACTTATTGTGAAAATATAACATGCTTTGATTTCTTTGAAGTAAAATAAATGAAATTAAACATGCAAACACAAATAATTGTGAAATGTTAATCACCTAAACAGTTTACATTAGAAATTAGCCTCTACTCAAATTTACTCATGATTCTGATTGGGAGGTGCAACTAAACTTATCATTGAAAGATCACATGCTTTGAAGTTTTAAGTAGCTTTACTCAGATTAGCTCAATGTCCAGCTAAAACTGGGTCTGGCGAAAATGTCAAGAAATTGGACTACAGGTACACTATATATTTCATATTTATTTTAGAAAGTAGGAAATAAATAGTAATTTTATAAAAATTTCATATACATCTCCCCTTTCTGCCAGGAACCAACATCACAAGAATGTCTCTCCAGATAACAGACAACGACAATTAGTAGCCCTTTTTGCCAAAACAAGGTGCTGTTTTCGCCCGAGAAATCAGTGACATTTTGCTAAGGTGCTGTTTTAGCCTCACCCATAAGAGATAACTTAATAGATCGGGTGATCAGGCTCGGTGACCTGGTTCATGGCATCTGACAGTGACCATCTAACAGTGTGGATTGTTGTTCACAATATCAATCACTGGATTGTCTAGAATCTTGGGCCTACCTTTAGAATACAGTACCACAAACCTTTCAAAAGGTCACAATACCCTGTGATGTAATTCGTAGTATTTTGTTGCCTGACACACTGGCAAAACAATGTCTTGTGATGTCAGGGGTCATTGGGCGTGCCTATATAATGGGTCATTCTCTAAAAAAGTAACATTTCCTGTCCAAATGAATTTTCTTGAAAACGACTCATAATTCTGTTTTCAGATTACTTGACAATGAAGATATTTATCAGATGTATGCAATATTCTGATCAAATTACTGATATAACCTTATGTTAGCCAGTAAAATACCTTAAATGTGCAGAAAGGTGCAGAAATTTGTTGTCCATAAATAAAAAATCAAACTTTCTCAAATTATCTTAAGTCTCTGGGAACAAATACTTCCCAAAGCACTGGTGATTTATGTAGCATGACATCATGGAAGACTGATAACAGCAGAAAAGCTGTTGGTTTTCCACTTGGATTCATTATTTTTGGCAACAGTAATCTTGTCCAGAGTAATAGTGTCTGTCCTGTCACCAGATAGTACAAATACAAATAATAATTGCTCCTTTGGTAAGCCAGAAGGCTAAGGTCTTTGCAGGTCCCTTACTTTCCAGTACTATCATGGCACCATATGCTCAAGCAATTTATACTGGTGCAGTGTCTTCAAAATAACTGGTAAATGTTGTCTTTTGATGTGTACTTTTTGTAGGTGTCTGTGCTGTCACCATGCATTTTGGATTCCGAAATTGTTATTAAAAAAATCAAATATGAGTATATTTGACTGTCAGAATGGAACTCAACCAGTGTGCTTGTTTTAGTGCAAGAGAGAAGTCATTGCCCTAAGCTGGCATTATGTCATAGTTTGTCTCTCCTGTCACTGTCTCTGCTGTCACCGTCTCTGCTGTCACCTTAAAAAAAGTGAAAGGACAGACATATTTAGGCGACAGCACAGACATATAGTGTTCAATAAATGTTTCAACATATATATATATTAAAAGACAAAGAAAACATGAATGGTAATGTATTTTGTATGTTTGCTTGTTGCATGAAAATCTGAATATTATTAACATTTGGGTCAATAAACATTGATTACACTGCACAGTAGATCTTTGGTAACAGCACAGACTTTTAATAGTGACAGCACAGACACATTTCAGTGACAGCAAAGACATTTTAGGATTTTTTTTTCATGTTGACAAAAATAATGAACAATTATTCATTTACTCGCCCTACTGTTGTACATGATTAAGAAATGTAACATATTTAGCAAATTTAAATGAAAGTTATGTTACATGATCACTTCAAACACTGTGTCTATGAGTGACTGTGACAGCACAGACACTTAACAGTAACAGCACAGACATTTAGTGTTTAATAGAGATTTTGAGAAAGTTTTGTTCAATGATTCAGTGTCTTTAAAACTCTATCTCTTAGACTTTTGTTAGTTACAGGTAAATTTGAATTTCCATTAACATTTGGGTCAATAAACACTTATTACACTGCACAGTAGATCTTTGGTAACAGCACAGACTTTTAATAGTAACAGCACAGACTTTTCAGTGTCAGCAAAGACATTTTAGGATTTTTTTATCAAGTTGACACAAATAATGAACAATTATTCATTTTTCTCGGCCTACCGTGGTACATAATTAAGAAATGTAACATACTTAGCAACTTTAAATGAAAGTAATTTTACATAATCACTTCAAACACTGTTTCTATGCATGAGGGAAAGAGAGAAGTGGAGGTGTGTGCTGACAGAATGGAGTGTATGAGTGGGGGACAGAGAGAAGTTGAGGTGTGTGCTGACAGAATGGAGTGTCTGAGTGGGGGAAAGAGAGAAGTGGAGGTGTGTGCTGACAGAATGGAGTGTATGACTATGAGTGGGGGAAAGAGAGAAGTTGAGGTGTGTGCTGACAGAATGGAGTGTATGAGTGGGGGAAAGAGAGAAGTTGAGGTGTGTGCTGACAGAATGGAGTGTATGAGTGGGGGAAAGAGAGAAGTGGAGGTGTGTGCTGACCGTATGGAGAGTCGGAGCGGGGGAAAGAGAGAAGTGGGGGTGTGTGCTGACAGAATGGAGTGTATGAGTGGGGAGAAGTGGAGGTGTTTGCTGACCGTATGGAGAGTCGGAGCGGGGGAAAGAGAGAAGTGGGGGTGTGTGCTGACAGAATGGAGTGTATGAGTGGGGAGAAGTGGAGGTGTTTGCTGACAGTATGGAGAGTCGGAGTGGGGGAAAGAGAGAAGTGGAGGTGTGTGCTGACAGTATGGAGTGTATGAGTGGGGAGAAGTGGAGGTGTTTGCTGACAGTATGGAGAGTCGGAGTGGGGGAAAGAGAGAAATGGAGGTGTGTGCTGACCGTATGGAGAGTCGGAGCGGGGGAAAGAGAGAAGTGGAGGTGTGTGCTGACAGTATGGAGTGTATGAGTGGGGAGAAGTGGAGGTGTTTGCTGACAGTATGGAGAGTCGGAGTGGGGGAAAGAGAGAAGTGGAGGTGTGTGCTAACAGAATGGAGTGGGGGAAAGAGAGAAGTGGAGGTTTTTGCTGACAGAATGGGGAGTCCGAGTGGGGGAAAGAGAGAAGTGGAGGTGTGTGCCGACAGTATGGAGCGGGGGAAAGAGAGAAGTGGAGGTGTGTGCTGACAGTATGGAGTGTATGAGTGGGGAGAAGTGGAGGTGTTTGCTGACAGTATGGAGAGTCGGAGCGGGGGAAAGAGAGAAGTGGAGGTGTGTGCTGACCGTATGGAGAGTCGGAGCAGGGGAAAGAGAGAAGTGGAGGTGTGTGCTGACAGTATGGAGTGTATGAGTGGGGAGAAGTGGAGGTGTTTGCTGACAGTATGGAGAGTCGGAGTGGGGGAAAGAGAGAAGTGGAGGTGTGTGCTAACAGAATGGAGTGGGGGAAAGAGAGAAGTGGAGGTTTTTGCTGACAGAATGGGGAGTCCGAGTGGGGGAAAGAGAGAAGTGGAGGTGTGTGCCGACAGTATGGAGTGGGGGAAAGAGAGAAGTGGAGGTGTGTGCTGACAGAATGGAGTGTATGAGTGGGGGAAAGAGAGAAGTGGAGGTGTGTGCTGACCGTATGGAGAGTCGGAGCGGGGGAAAGAGAGAAGTGGGGGTGTGTGCCGACAGAATGGAGTGGGGGAAAGAGAGAAGTGGAGGTGTGTGCTGACAGAATGGAGTGTATGAGTGGGGGAATGAGAGAAGTGGAGGTGTTTGCTGACAGAATGGAGTGTATGAGTGGGGGAAAGAGAGAAGTTGAGGTGTGTGCTGACAGAATGGAGTGTATGAGTGGGGGAATGAGAGAAGTGGAGGTGTGTGCCGACAGAATGGAGTGTATGAGTGTTGGAAAGAGAGAAGTGGAGGTGTGTGCTGACAGAATGGAGTGTCTGAGTGGGGGAAAGAGAGAAGTGGAGGTGTGTGCTGACAGAATGGAGTGTCTGAGTGGGGGAAAGAGAGAAGTGGAGGTGTGTGCTGACAGAATGGAGTGGGGGAAGAGAGAAGTGGAGGTGTTTGCTGACAGAATGGAGTGTATGAGTGGGGGAAAGAGAGAAGTGGAGGTATGTGCCGACAGAATGGAGTGTATGAGTGGGGGAATGAGAGAAGTGGAGGTGTGTGCCGACAGAATGGAGTGTCTGAGTGGGGGAAAGAGAGAAGCGGAGGTGTGTGCCGACAGAATGGAGTGTCTGAGTGGGGGAATGAGAGAAGTGGAGGTGTTGGCTGACAGAATGGAGAGTCTGAATGATGATGAAATTCACCCAAAGACAAGTAAGGAAATGGTACAAAGTTCAGGTGATGATAAGATGAAAGACAAAAGGAATTACACCAG